CTCCAAACATACACCTTTAACAACCTTTTTCGAACTTCTAAATTAACCGTTTGCGAGCATAGAAGTAACTTCTTTTGATTGAAGGCGACTCGACCCTGTGCTATCCTCTGCTTCATACCCTAATACACCGTCCGTCCTGAGTTATCTGACTTCCTAGATACCTAAAATCGGCCACTTCTTCTAATTTTTCGTCTCCTATCTTTATATTCACTCTTTTCCTATTTTTTCTTTCCATGCATACCAGTATTTTTGTTTATTTTTTAGTGATTGTACATTTAATAAAAAAAAAATGTTTACATAAAATTGGTTTGGAATCAAATAGTGCATATACAGCAAATATTTTCAGTGATACAGGGCATTCCATTTCTACTGGACGCTGCCTAACATCCTTATTTTAATAGGAACACCCTATATATTTTTACATTTTTAGTAGTTTTTGAGATATACTATTGCTCTTTAAAACAAAACACGATTTCAACTCTTTGAATGAGGCCAAATAGCATCTCTAAACCATAAAACCTAAAATCCAGGGGATTGGACAGTTTTCATTTTAGCACGAATATCCAGAGCAGAAAATATCCAAACCTACTTTTAACAATCTTACAAGATGAATAACTTTTTTTATTTGAATGGTATGATCAATTTTAAATAGTACAATTCGATGCGAAATTAAAAGTCCTTTCTATTAATATAAGGTTTCAATATAAAATAATCGATTTTTTCTGAAAAACTGTTGGAGATATTTAAATCCTAACTCAACCTAAACATAATTTATTAATGGTTAGTATAAAAAATTTGTTCACCCTTAGCTAATACAATATTTACGCTTTTTTATTAAATTTACAATCTACACACCAACGTTTCACTTAAGGTGTAAGGCTTCCTCAGGACCATATAAACTTAATGAAAAAGAACCTTCGCTCTAAATCTGCTTGTTTTTGTTTTCTTTCTTCAGTAGTTTATTGATTATTAAATAAGCAAAACTGTAAACTTAAGCATATTTATTTTAAGTGTCAAATTTCAAAAAAGAGAAATATTTCAAGTATCTTTCGATAAGATAGAAATCCGTTTTGATTATATACCTCCTACACATTGAAATCGATTAAAGTGTTACTGTCACTGTATTCTGCCCTTAATTCATTAGATAACTGGTTCCATTCTGCTATTATTCATTCAATAATTCATGTCGAGATCAATACAAATTGCATTTTAAAGCTACTGGCGAAATGAACTTAAGACAATGACATGCTTTCTACATATAAAAGCTATTTGCTGTTTTATTTTAACTTGGAAGTAAGAGCGAAGATGTCAGACTAACAATTTGATGGCATAAACGTCACGATTTAGACAATTCCACAGATTTTTTGTGTAATTTTTTTATAATAAAATTAGTTTCTTTTATAATATATCCCTTTAATTCAGTATTATGGTAGCAAAGTAACTTAATCTATTGAAAGTGCAGTGAAAAGCTAAAAGCAGTTTGACTCACTTGATGGAACATTATTAAATGCGGTAGAAGTATACGAATAAAAGAAGAAACTCACTTGGAAAGTTTGACGTTTAAAATCTCTAACAATCGTTTCAGCTGGTAGTCGATGTTCCCGCAATCAAAATACTGAAACAGTATCGCTCAATCGCTCGCCAAAAAAGTTTCACAAAAAAAATTAAAACAAAATATCCTCATGATTCCCAAAGTGTTGAACTATGTAAAACTATATACAGCATTTGCACGACCGTCAGCATTAGAAGTAACTTAGATTTTATGAAATCTATGCCACAAATAGTTTCATGGTGACAAATTCAGTATTTTGATTTTTAGTGTTAGGGGTTTAAAGGATTATCAATTTATACATTCAGTGGAATAGTTGATTGGTTACGGGTTTTAGGTTTAAAATCGTTTGGGTTTATTATGATTAACGGTTTCAGTGCTTTTTGAAGTTATACCACACCTCGATGTTTTAGGGTTAAACTGGCTACGGATTTGGATTTAGCGTCTCAAAAAACGTATAGGTAGATATACGAGATCTGTTCAAAAAGTATCGCGAATTTTGAATTTCCACGGGGTTACATACATTCGATTTTCGATTTTTTTGTGGCGTTATGTTGGTACTCATATCTCTTACTTATACGAACAAGTTTGAGCATGTTAAATGTTCAGTTAATTTTTGACAACTGCTTTGCTTGCATGTGTTTTGGCTCGTCTTCGGTTTTTGTCTATTCCCAAAAATGGATCAATGAATCTGGATCAAATTTTGTGTGAAAAGCAAGAGTAAGTGCGCGGACGCATTCCGAATGTTGACTGTGGCATAAGGTGAAGCTACCTTGGTCTGAAGCAACGTTTATCGGTGGTACAAAATGTTTTTAGTGGGCCGAGAAGATGTGATGCCGAACGCCCGAGCACGTCAACGACAGACGAAAACATTGATGAAGTGAAGAAAATAGTATTGACGAATCGTTTAATCACCGTTAGAGAAGTAGTTGAGGATCTAAACATATCAATCGGCTCCTGCCTTTCAATTTTAGCCAATGATTTGGGCATGAGACGGGTTACCGCGAAATTCGTACCGCAATGGTTCAATTTCAACCAAAAACAACATCACATTAACATTGCTAAGAAGCTGTTGGACTATGTCCGCGACAACCCAAATTTGCTCCAGAGGGTCATAAGTGGTGACGAATCATAGATTTATGGTTGATGATGTGGAAACCAAAGGTCAATTATCCCAATGGAATCTGCCGCATGAGCCAACACCAAAAAAAAGTCAATAAGGAATATTACCTACCAGTTATGCACAATTTGCGCGAAGAAATCCGCCAGAAACGCCCGGATTTGTGGAAGAACAAAAATGGGCTTTTGCACCATGATATCGCCACACTACACACTAATAGCCAACCGCATCTACCGTATTCCCCAGATCTGACCCCCTGCGACTTTTTCTTGTTCCCGAAACTGAAGAGGCTCATGAAAGGACGACGCTACGCTACAATTGAAAAGGTAAAGACGGCATTGAAGGAGGAGCTGAATAAGATCACAAAAAATGATTTTTTGAAGTGCTTCGAGGTTTGGAAAAAACGTTGGCACAAGTGTATAATATCTAGTGGGCATTACTGTGAAGGGGACAAAATAGATATTCATGAATAAATAAATAATTTTTTAAAAACCACGAAATTTTTGTGAGTCTGTGTTATCTATATTATATAATATTATTGCTGTCCTAGTATTTATCTAAGTGATCTTCAGAAACTACTGAGAAATTTTGATCAGGGAAGACGTACCCGAAATCGAACCGGTTAACTTTTATGATTCTGGACTAAACCATGTCGTTCGGTACCAATACCATAATGCATAATCTATTATTTGCTTAAATACCAGATAAACAGGAAGCGACCTTTAGTAAAAGAGATGAGATATTGAAATTTGTTTCTTCGGTTATAATTAGAAGACTTAGAAGGAGAATACAAACTATACCTTCATGTATTATATGAATCGGTTTGGTTTAGTAGGTGATTTATCAAAAGTTCGTCTGACGTGCTGATGAGAAATAAGGTCTAAATAGCCATGTGTCTGGTTTACCTGTCTACCACTTACATAAGCTACGAGGTACACTGATTCCTTTGTATAGTCCTTGTTAAACATCGCAAGTACTACAGATATCAGCAAATATCACTAGAGGGCGGTATACTGCCTATGACTTGATATTATATCAAAATAAATGCAAATTATTATTGCCTTTGTATATTCGAATTTGTGTCACCAACATTTTATTATTGTTTCAGTTATTACGCATCATCCCCGTTTCCTATTGGTCCACCACGTGTTGTTCCTCCTATGAAAAGGCCGCGTTTGATGTCAACTGGAAGGAATAAGAGCAAAGAATCGAAGAAAAGTTTCACCCTGCCTCCTTTAGATCAACTCAAAACATATAGTAAGTGAAAAATCATATATCAGAATACACAATAATTACCTTACCTATATTGAGCGTAACAGAAGTAACAAGAAAATTTGTGATATCCCCAAAGATGTTTCGGGGAAATAAATTAAGGAAGGATGTTAAAAGTACATTCTTATCGCGCATAACTAGATTTTGACAGACGTGCATGCACGAATTGTAATTAAAAAGCGAACAAATATCTTTACCTTTCGTTTTAATGTTTCACAGCTGACATGAAGATCTGAAAGTGGTACGCAGTCGCTCATGATGCAGCTACTCCTTTGTTTCTATCCTTTATTCAGATCTACTCGCTTAGAGTTAAGTTTTTACCTTTAACTCTTATCTTTTCGGCTAATACAATTTAGGATATGCAAATTGGTTTAAAAAAAAATACCTTCTTGATTTGTTAATTCAAATGTAAAATACAAAATAGATTTCCCTTTTGTATTTTAAATGCTAAATGCAAACTACGTATTTTCTAAAAAAATATTTTTCAAATAAATCCTTCTTGGTAGTACCTATTTAATTTTCTACATTAACTTAATTAACAAAATTAAATATACTTGAAAATGTAGGGATGAGTTACAGATGTAGAAGAGTGATACTTAGTTTGTATAAAGAGCAAAAGGCAGTTATAGAGCTGGGGCTGCAACGTAGAGAAGTAAATATTAGGAAGGGAGTCAGACAGGGATGCACACTGTCACTGCTACTTTTTAATCTATACATCGAAGATGCGATCAACATCATTAAAGGAATAGACATACAGGGGCAAAAAATTAGTATGCTTAGATTTGCAGATGATATAGCAGTATTAGCATCTAGTAAGAAGGAGTTAGAGATAGCTTTAAATAAAATGGAAGCGACACTGAAAAAACAGTACTGTATGGAAATAAGTAAAAGTAAAACAAAAGTACTGGCGTGCAGGGGAAGAAAAAGAAACGAAAGAGCGAATATTAAGATAGGAGACGAAAAATTAGAAGTAGCTGATTTTAAGTGTCTAGGAAGTCAGATAAGTCAGGACGGAAGGAGTAGTAGGGATATAAAGCAGAGGATAGCGCAGGGTCGAGTCGCCTCCAATAAAAACAAGTCACTTCTATGCTCGCGAACAGTTAATTTAGAAATTCGAAAAAGATTGTTAAAAGTGTTCTTTTAGAACGCGGCGCTGTACGGGTGCGAAACATAAACAGCGAGCGCTGCGGAAAAGAAAAGCTTAGAAGCGTTCGAAATGTGACGTTACAGACAAATGATGAGGATAACGTGGATAGAGAAGGTTAGAAATAAAGAGATATTAGAAAGAATATGAGAACAAAGGATTTTATGGCAGTCAATAAAAAATAGACGAGATGGGTTGGTAGGACACCTTCTCAGGCATGAACGTCTAGTCAGAGACATATTAGAGGCAGAAGCGGGAGTTAGTAGGGGTAAAGGTAGATATAGATTGGATTACTGTTCGCAAATAGTTAAGGATGTGGATTGTTCTAGTTTTAGAGAAAGGCGAAGATTAGCTCAGAATAGGAAAATAGGAAAGAGTGGAGGTGCGTGACCAACCAGTCTTAGGACTGACGATCTTATGATGGTGATATATAGTATATATATGTAGTTTGGCACAGTTTGGAGCGATTGTTAAACATAATCCCTCATTCAATTCTTTCTCCCTTATATATTTTGTAAAGCTTCATATATCATTCTCGAATACATCTTGGGAAACTCCATTATCATATCCCATTATTAATGATAGTAATTTTCCAGTGGGTGCTTTAAAACCTGTTGATGTCCCCATTCTTAATATAAAGAGTCCGGGTGTCAGTCTACGTGTCTTCTTATGTGCCTCTTTCATTAGTGCCAGATATGGGAGAGAATGGGAGAGCGTGCGTTAACATTTATAAATTGTTATTTTTGTACGAAACAAGCTTTTAGCTGCTGCTTCGCTCGCGTTGATGTCCTAAATACGTGTAAAAGATTATCGAAAATACAATAATTTGATAAATAGTCCCCACCAGGATTGTCAGGATAAAAATAGTGTTTCTAACTTTTTAGGTTAAACATACACTTTGCGTAGAATGACAGTAGGTAAATACTGTTTTTCTTCATCGAGATGAAGAAAAAAATTTTTCTGTTGCTACAGTCTATCAACGTTTCGCTTAATTTCTTCTTCTTCCCTACATTTATTCATGTACCTCAAAACCAACATAAATAAAAATTTGTAAAAACAATTCGACTACAATATGTAAGTATTAGGATTAGGTCAATCAATTAAAATTTTTTAGAGGAAAAATTATAACATGAAGTCAAATCGAAATTAGTTTAAAAGTACAATGTCAAGTATTATTTTGACATGTATGCCTATACCATCGACGTTTACTAATGGACATGCCTTAGCGGTCAGAATTGTGGTACAACAAAAGAAAGAGATAGAACGAAGTTTCTGACAATATTCATCTCTCTCCCAATAGTGCGTAAGCGTGTCATGAAAGAGATAGTACTAGTCCGAAACCATACGCCATCTCCCTCACTTTTCGGGCCAAGAAATTATTACGACATACGGCTAAGGCACATCCATTAATACACGTCTATGACCTATACCAACTCTCAGTCTATAGATACTTTTAGAAAATACCACAAATGGCGCAGTAAACGCCATCTGTAGCTTATCACGTTGAGGTTGGCTACGCCGGGATTCGTTTTCCGCAAGTAGATATCCACACAAGTGGATCTTGTTCGAGCATACGTAATCCTAAAATGTAGCATCGTGCTACAGATGGCGTTTACTGCGTCATTTGTAGTATTTTATAAAACGCACTGTTAAGACAGCAGGTAAAAGTTGGTCTGTGTTCTGTCGGAGCTGCCTACGACGCGCTGGTGAGATCCAAAAAGATCGAAATCACAATCCGCGTCTGGCAGTTTCGACAGAATACAGACCACTTCGAATTATTTTATAGACACTTGCTGGAGAGTGGAAGGAAACTCTACGGTAGCTGAGTAGATAGAAATGTGATGAAATAGGTATAACTTACTCTCATTTCCCGTATCCTCACCGAGCGGTTTGACCTAAAGGTTTAGACCATTGCTTAGCATTCGGAAAGGCACCGCTTCGATTCCTGTAGTTTTTCTTTGATAACTTAAGGTAAATGCTGATATAGTAATATTCCACAGATTTCAACTTCCTCAACCCAACCACCATCCACCCATTCCCACGATTCCTAAAAGAAAATTTTCCAGTTTTCTTGTTTTTCTCCATTAATATTGATCCAATCAAGTCGATCAAAGTCTATAGGATTTTTAATTTCTTACAAGTCCATTAGACAGTACTCTTTTAAAAACTAAAAATGTGTATTGTTTTAGTCTTAATCGTTCAATGAAATTAGCAACCAATGGAGTTGAATCATGTCAAAACAATATTCGACATTGTAGTTAATATAACTACGTGTATAAATCCTAACTAATATTATAAATGTGAATGTCAGTATTTGTTTATTGGTACACACATGTCAGGGGTACAAATAAAGGGCATAGGGTATTTTTTATTCAGAAAAATATTGTTGCCGAGAAATATAAAAATTTCTTTTCATCTCGATAAACGACAGTATTAACTGTGTAGTTTAACATAAACAACTTGGTTTTATCCCGATGACCTTGGTCAGGATTATTTGTTGTATTTTCGATTATATTTGACACGTATTTAAGACATAGGAAATATAACATTTTTAATCAACATAAATGTCAGTTTTATTACTTTTCGTTATAATGAAATATGTGGGCTTAAAACACAGTCGTATGAACTTTTACAGCAGGTGATTTCGCCAGCGTATATTTAGCCGCAGCCTATCTATGACCGAATTAATTGATATTTAAACACCCCCAACACGTAAAAATTCGAAATTTTCAGTCAACAATCCAATTAAACGGATATGAGCTGAAAAGTTGTTTATTCCTATAAAACCATCATTTAACCGACATTTCGTCTTTATTCGCAGGGCTTTTTGTTATGAAGGGTTTTTGTAAATAAGGGCGAAACGTCGATTGTTGGTTTTAGAAAAATAAACAACTTTTCGTCTAATATTGAGTTTGATTGGCATAAGGCACCGTTCCACCGTTTTATTGAACGTTTTAACTGTCAATATTATACTTCGTTTACTTTCTGTAGCGATGTGACCTTCAGTTTGACCGGCGCAAAGTAGAAAAGAACAGCACTAGGCCAGAAAAGAAAGGAGACAACTCTCGGCCAAACCCTTAACCGGTGAGGAGCGTATAATTCGTACAGTACTGCACGAAAAAATTGACCATTTTATCCACTACAATTGCATTGCTCAAATGTGCTGTTATTGGTACCATTTACTACTGAAAATATCAACGAGATGTTTATTTATATTTGAAGACATATTAAAGGCTTT